AAGACACACCTTTGGCTATCTATCAACTATATTCTAGTTCCACTCAAAGTAAGAATGTAGTCTTTGCGTGTCTAATATATTGCTTATTAAAAAGAAAGCCCACATGCATATATGCAGCTTTTTCATATTGTTCTTCTGTTTTGTTTGGCTTGAAGCTAGGAGAAGAATCTGATATGTAAGGTAGCTCAGACAGAATTTCAAAGCCAGAAGCAAACTAACCGAATGATGTTAGAAGAAGAAACTGAGAGAAAATAATTTTCTCTGATTTGTTTGCATATTTTCTTGAAATGTTGAAGGGAGTCAGACCTTGAGACTAATTAAAGCGGTCAAAAAAGAAACAAATGAAAAGAAGCTATGCAGAACAAGTGTGTAAAACCAAAGATCTGGAAATTCTTTTCCTTTTTCATATTATAGTATAGACAAGTAGAAAACGTTACAGTTGGGCAGATTGTGATCCTCATCATATACAGAAAGAGGTCAAAGCAGCCATTCATCTATAGCTTTCTCAAATGAAATGATATGATCTGGGAGGGAGTTAGTTATTTAACACATACACTAATGATATTTATCACACAGAAGTTCCATATATTTCTTGGTATTTTTTATTAACCTCTTTCCAGCTTTCAACATATCATAAAGAATTTACAAGTTTTTTGGGGAATTGGGTTTTCTTTTGTTCTATATATAGCTATAGGTAAACATTACTAATTCCCTAGGAGCTCAAGTTTCACATAAAATCCCAAAGTGACTGAGAGACAGATGTTCATATGTGCAGTGCAGTGCAGGCATGTTTAAACGTGCAAAAAATATTTTTTTTTTTAACTCTCCTTTCCAACACTGTATTTACGTTTTGTAACTGACACGAACGTTAAATTTCTAGTTTTCTACTGCTGTAACGTTTGGTCAGCCGACTGTAAGTTTGTGGGTGACCAGTAAGAGAGGATGGTTTTGGCATCGTCATCGTTTCTCGAACTCAGTTTCTAGGGTTTTCTTTTTCTTCTCTGTAAAAAGAGTGAAGCAGGCTTTCCAAGGTGCTCAAGTGCTTTTTCTATGTTGGGTAACAGAAAATGAAATCAAGGAATCAAAAAAAGAGGAAGAACTCATAGCGTCACATGCACCACAAACAATTCCACACTCTCAACTAGCATTTCAGGCCATCTTGTAAGACAGAAGCAATCAATGGAATATAATCATTTTTAGTATATGAATGCATGTGAGCATGTGTGTGTATATAAGTTTGAAATTCACTAACTGAAACGCATAGTTTATATTAATTCAATCCTAGAAATGAACAGAAACACATAACATAATGTTGGATATGAAGTATTATTACTGGTGCCGGAGAAGATGGACAGATCTAGAGAAACATGAGAGACATTAATATATAAAACCCTAGAAATGTGCATCATCACACTACAACTAGCATAGCTGCTATAATTATAAGAGAGAGACATATTCAAAGGATATTGAAGAAAGAAGATGGGAAAGAACACCATCGATTTATAAATATTATAACTTACTGACCTTGCAAAGTCTCTACTATATCCTTAATTGTTGCTTATTTTTTTCCCTACTCAACACACCAAGCCTTCATCATTCTTCTTCCGTTGTAAATATATATACTTTGCTCCCATTGAAGCCACTGACTGAAGAAATCTCTTCAATTAATGTTCATGTGATGACTGCTAATCCTCAATTTTATCACATTCAGACAACCAAATTAGCAAGCTACCTTCCTTAATTTCAACAACTCTTCAGAAATCTGAGAAAAGTAGTTGCTTGATTCACACGAGCTAGCTAGCAGTAGCATCAACACCCCCATGTCATGGAAACCATACTCAAAATCAGAATCACAAGTAACTACTAAAACGGAGGCCGTGGAGTACTTCCCCCACCCCACCCGAACAAATCAGGACCCGAAAACGGATAGTTAGCAGCCATATTCCCTCCCAGATTGAAAAGGCCAGCACCGCCGCCGCTATTTCCCCCAGTACCTTCACCAAGGCCGCCAGTCACCCCGGAAGATTGCGACGCCGTAGGTTGTTGCACTTGCAAGCCTCCACCGCCACCATTACCACCAGTAGGAGTACCCTCTTCCGGATCATCCAATGGCAATCTCTCAAACACAGCATTTCCAAACGAAGCAGCCATCAAAACCACTGGACCAGAAGCCAACAGCGGGCCCACCACGCAACCCCCAACGACTTGTCCCTGCACGCCCGCCAAGAATATGGACAGTCCGCCCGCACCTGGAGGAGCCGGAGGAGGAAGCACCGTCCCAGAGAGCGAAAGTATCTCGAAGCGTCCGTGAAGAGTGACTACGCTCCCCGCAGGCTGACGAAGAGTGACATTGGCGACGGTGCCGCTGCCGCTCAGCACGCACACGCCTCTCCCCCTCCGCCTGGCGTAGATGGAGACGCTTTCCATGACGTCGGCGCCAGCCGAGATTTCCAGCACGTGCGAGCGGAGGGCGTTGGGGGTGTCGCGCGTGACGATGATTGGGGGCTTGGGTTTGTTCTTGGAGCCTGCAGGGCGGCCTCTGGGGCGGCGTGTGGGACCCCCACTTCCACTTCCACCACCACCGTCGCCTCCTCCGCCGGAACTGGTGGCGGCGGTGTCGGAGGATTCGATTATCTTGTTATTGTTGTGATCTTGGTCGTCTTGGTGGTGGGAATCGGAGGACTGTTGTTGATGATGGTGGTGTAGTTGTTGTTGTTGATGAACTTGGAGGTGGAGGTCGGGGTGGAAGAGCTGGTGGACGTAGCGAGAAGCAGTTGGGGCTGAGGTTGTAGACAATGACTCATTGTAGCCCGCCATCGCCACATCTATTTTCTCCCACCACTTATTTGCCAGCCTAATTCCTTTCTCTTCTTTCGTTCACCACTTTATATATAGATATATGTCTATAAAGTGTATTTGTGTGTGAACTTGGGCGGTCTTTTCTTTTCTTTGATAGGGTCAAATATTTTGATTCAACAAACTGAGATGCAGCAGCGGTCAATATCTGATGGGAGTCTGAGATTCATCGGTTACAAATGAAATGGGTAGCTTGAGACTTGAGTGGTGCACACTGCACAGCTGAGTCTTCTATCTATTCAAACATATCAGCAGTTACATACACACAGAAGAAACACCCAATTCCCAAATAAAGCTAGCTGGCTTAACCTACTAGCTCTATGTATGCATATATACAAGATTCAACTACAGCTCTTACTTCCCTTACAGTAGGTTTGTTTGTGCTAGCAACTTCAAAATTGCAAGTCAAGCCCTCAAAAATCCAAAGATCAATGGGAATGATCTGATCAATCTTCAAACAAAAAAAGGGATCGGAGTGATATTCAACAGATATACACTCACTACTTAGAAATTAATAATAATTAAGGAGCTAGAAACAAGATATAGTCACTTATCAGCGATTTTATGTTTATGAAATTTCTCAAATAAGTTGCCGGAGTTGAGCTGTGGAGGGGACTGTGAAGCGAAAACACCACTGTATCTGTATATGAAATTCTTCAATTTCTAAATTTGGAGGTCTATGAATGAATGAGTTGGAGAAGAGAGAGAGAGAGGAGAGTTTTGAGGAGGAATTGGTGGAAAAGCGTGAGGTAAAAGCACAATTCAAGCAATTACCAAGACAAAAAAAAAGGACCTCAAATTGCTATACGCGCCCCCTGGCGCGTCTACATTTTCAAATGCAGAACTTATTTTCTTTTTGGTCAAAACTGTAGCACAACTTACGGTTATGTCATATTTGCATATTGGATAAGCTAAGGCAAGCTACTTCTATACTACACCTTAATATCACATTTAGGGATGGGCATAAATTTAAGTCGGGGCGGGTTTCCATCGAGTCCCCAATTTTAGTGGGGGAAGATTTTAGGAAAAATTTGGGGGCAGGTTGAAGATCCCTGAATTTTAAAATTTTCAGTCGGAAATGAGTCAGGGATGATATTATTATCCACGACTCCATACCCGACCCTATAAGTAACATATTTATTTTTAGTTGATATATAATATAATATAGCCATGTATGATTATGATATAATATAATCATATTCTATAATAGATTGTCAAGTGTTGAGGCCCAAAAATCCAAAGGCTATGCCCAGTTTTATTCTTGGCCCAGCACAAATAATTGACCGCAAAAGGAGCCCAATTGGGACATCAAAGAATTCTTAGGACGCACCTGTGTGAGCCATGGGGCATGCGTTACACCAAGCCAAACACGCGCGTCCGCCACGCAAAAGGACCAAAACACACCGGCAATATAAATTCACGCCTACCAATCTATCCAATGTTACATGGCCCAATCACAACTTATAGTAACGCGATGAAATTCAAGCACAAGCATGCTAAATAAACACGTAATGTTATGTAAAGGACCGCTATTCTAATACCAAGTCATGTTGCAGGCTTAAGTGGGCTCAAACCACATAATTACCTAGGGCTTGTTGAGAAATTTGTGGTATGGACGGGAACAAGCGCTCACAGGGCCCATTGAGGGTTCGAGGAATGAAAGTTTTAGGCCACTTAGGAGCACTAGAACTCAAGCCCATTCTTCGGGTCCAAACACATGGGTTAGCATGAGAGAGAAAAAAAAGTGATCCAATACCTTAGGAGAACATCTAATAGTCTGCTGCAACACTTAAACAAACCCACACCAGTAAAATGCCCAAAATAAAAGGACTATTTCCAGCAGTTGACGAAAACCCACTGGACGCTGGAAATAGAACATCAATAACCCAATACTGTAAACAAAGCCCAGCGCAGCGCCTTGTAAAAATCTAGCATCATATTCCACCCTTGTCAAAACTCCAAAATAGTCAACGAGGAGCCATGGTAGGGACCAAATGAAATCCATATGTGTAAGAAGAGTACCCACAGAACAAACGACTCCATCCATTCTCTTTTCCTCTGTGAGCTCTATTTTGAAAACCAAGGAAGAAAGCAGGTGGCGCCTCACCCCCATGGGTGAGGTCCAGCCTAACAAAAACCTTGGAACCCCAAAGAGCCTGTGACCCATGCACTCTGGTTAAAGAAATTTCACCAAAAGGAAGTGAATGGAAAGAAGCAAAGGAAAAGTGAGAATGGAGGATTGCTAGAATTAGGGCTCTAAGTACCTATAAAAGGGGGCTTCCTCTACCCAGCAAAATCACAATCTAGAGCGTGACCAAGCTTTGTCAAGCAACTAGAAATTTACTCAAGATACCCCATCTTCTACATCCATTACTTTTCTCTTCCTGAAATATAAATCCCCCTATTTTTCCTCTTCTCCATTTTGAACCTTTGCTTTCTATGAGAAATTCACGCTTCTCTTTCTCTCTCTCTTCCTCAAATTTCTAAACTTGTGAAAGCTTAGCTCCCATGCCACAAGCTCCTCAAGCCATATTCTATAATAGATTGTCAAGTGTTGAGGCCCAAAAATCCAAAGGCTATGCCCAGTTTTATTCTTGGCCCAGCACAAATAATTGACCGCAAAAGGAGCCCAATTGGGACATCAAAGAATTCTTAGGACGCACCTGTGTGAGCCATGGGGCATGCGTTACACCAAGCCAAACACGCGCGTCCGCCACGCAAAAGGACCAAAACACACCGGCAATATAAATTCACGCCTACCAATCTATCCAATGTTACATGGCCCAATCACAACTTATAGTAACGCGATGAAATTCAAGCACAAGCATGCTAAATAAACACGTAATGTTATGTAAAGGACCGCTATTCTAATACCAAGTCATGTTGCAGGCTTAAGTGGGCTCAAACCACATAATTACCTAGGGCTTGTTGAGAAATTTGTGGTATGGACGGGAACAAGCGCTCACAGGGCCCATTGAGGGTTCGAGGAATGAAAGTTTTAGGCCACTTAGGAGCACTAGAACTCAAGCCCATTCTTCGGGTCCAAACACATGGGTTAGCATGAGAGAGAAAAAAAAGTGATCCAATACCTTAGGAGAACATCTAATAGTCTGCTGCAACACTTAAACAAACCCACACCAGTAAAATGCCCAAAATAAAAGGACTATTTCCAGCAGTTGACGAAAACCCACTGGACGCTGGAAATAGAACATCAATAACCCAATACTGTAAACAAAGCCCAGCGCAGCGCCTTGTAAAAATCTAGCATCATATTCCACCCTTGTCAAAACTCCAAAATAGTCAACGAGGAGCCATGGTAGGGACCAAATGAAATCCATATGTGTAAGAAGAGTACCCACAGAACAAACGACTCCATCCATTCTCTTTTCCTCTGTGAGCTCTATTTTGAAAACCAAGGAAGAAAGCAGGTGGCGCCTCACCCCCATGGGTGAGGTCCAGCCTAACAAAAACCTTGGAACCCCAAAGAGCCTGTGACCCATGCACTCTGGTTAAAGAAATTTCACCAAAAGGAAGTGAATGGAAAGAAGCAAAGGAAAAGTGAGAATGGAGGATTGCTAGAATTAGGGCTCTAAGTACCTATAAAAGGGGGCTTCCTCTACCCAGCAAAATCACAATCTAGAGCGTGACCAAGCTTTGTCAAGCAACTAGAAATTTACTCAAGATACCCCATCTTCTACATCCATTACTTTTCTCTTCCTGAAATATAAATCCCCCTATTTTTCCTCTTCTCCATTTTGAACCTTTGCTTTCTATGAGAAATTCACGCTTCTCTTTCTCTCTCTCTTCCTCAAATTTCTAAACTTGTGAAAGCTTAGCTCCCATGCCACAAGCTCCTCAAGCCAAGTCACTTATCAATTTGTCATGTTCATTTGGTTATTGGTGAAAAAAAACCTAAAATCGTTTTTCTAAAGTTTCAGCAAACTTTTCAAAAACTCTTTTGGAGCCTGGTCCTTGAGCTTAAGCACTTGGGGAATTTTGTTCTTTTCCTCTTACAGCAGCCTAGGCCCATTCGTCAGGCTGCTGAAACAAAAAGACCCTTACATCAAGTTAACTGTGACCCCTGATGAGGACGTGAGCCATAAGTGAGGGAGAATGTAACACCTAAGTTGGCATGTTGAGTCCTACATTGGTAAACTACTAGGTTTATCTGGGCTTCATAATCAATTGCAGGGAACCCTATTAGTGACTAGTCCTTTCGGGGTATAGTGCTGAGGTGGTGTGAGCTTCTATGGGTCATGACATATGCTAGGCTTTATGGATGTAATTTTTATTTCTAATTAATTGATAGAGTAATAGGCTTGGTTTGTGAGTTTGAAAATTGTTGAGTGTGTTTTTTTGAATTTGTTATTTGACTTTTAGACCAAAATTAATAAATAGATAAAACCAAAATTAATATATGGATTGTGAGTTTGATAATTTAATAATTTTTAAACCAAAATTAATATATAGATAATATAGGGGCCTAATGAATTCGGGGCCTTAGGCCCGTCTTAGAGCATTTCCACCCTAACAACCTAGCTTAGGCAAGAGGCCATCTAGGCCTCAAAAGCAGCTTCCAGCACACAAATCTTGTCAGGGCAAGAAATGGTCTCTACCAACCCTGCCAAGACCCAAGGCAAGATGAGCTCGAGCTCCTGCTCGTAGGTTGTGACGTCAGTGCACAGGTTTAATTTTTTTTTTTACCGTTGGCGTGTGAAGTGCACGCGAAGACCGCGCCTTTAGTTGACATGCGGCTAGCATCAACGCCTTTTTTCCTCCAACGGTAAAATTTTTGTAATTGTCATTTTATTAAATTTAATGTCATATTTTTTGATATTTTCTTGTATTTCCAATTTAATTTTTTTATTATAAATTATTCAAGCACAAATGTGGTTCGGTGTCATTGGCAAAGGCAACAAATCTTTCAACAATCACCAATGTTGGGAGGCTGTGAAGAATTGTCTGAGATTCAAAATTATTTCCACGAGTCCGAGCGTTGTGTTGAATGAGACGCCGGTCCAAGATTCATTGGCATTGAATTCACCGTTGGACTCCTCTATTGATCAAGACTCACCAATCCAAATAGAGCCGAGGCCTATTGGAAGAAACGCGACAAAGGCAAAGAGAGGAGCACTTTGAACAATGAATGTGCAAAATTTTTGGAGCAAATTCTTATCAATAGCGCATTGAGAATTGAGAGCGACATAAAAAGAGATGAGGTTGACAAGGCAAAAGATGACGCATTTGCAAGAAAATTGAGTTTGCACACAAACAAGACATAGACAAGAAAGATCGGGAAACCATGACCATGGATATAAGCCATAGATCCCCTGAAACAAAGACATTTTGGAAGTAAGAACGAAGGGATATTATGAGAAGAAGACTTTTCCGTGACGATGGACCTAGCAATACAGATTGGTTAAATGAAAAAAAACCATTAGGTTGTATTGATAGGGATGCCCTTTCTTAATTAGTTGTATTAATTGTCTTTTATTGAATATAGAAAGCATTCAATAATATAGCCATTTATGTAAAACATTACATACATCAAAACAAAGCATAATTGAAAACAAACCACAAACAAAACAAAGCATATAATTCAAAACAAACCACAAACAAAACAAAGCATAATTCAAATCAAAGCATTACTTCATTGACCATGATTGTCTCTCAGTGCTCATAAGTGCTCGATCAAGTCAACTTGACATCTTTCGTGAACATAAGAAGATTGCATTTCCGTATAACGGTCAATCATACGGTTGTTGTAACGATAACCCTTAATCAACGGTTCGTGCTCCAGAGGTTGTCCATTTGCTCCTACAGGTCGTTCATACATTATTGATAATGTTGTATTCATGGCATTGAGTTCGAACATCTCTAGTTCATCATAATCATACTCATCCTCCACAATCATGTTATGAAGGATGATGCACGTCATCATAATGCTCTGAAACATGTCTTCATCAAACATACAAGTAGCTCCCCTAATGATTGCCCATCGTGCTTGAAGGATACCAAAAACACATTTTCACATCTTTCCTATAACCTTCTTGATAGGTAGCAAAGTATTTTTCCTTCTCTGACAACGGTGGTGTTAGCTTGATTATGGAGCATACCCACCGCTAAAATAACTTGATCATCTTCTGCTCCCATTCCCTTTCTTTTTTAGCATGTTTGCACATTCTTTCTTCATTTTCTCGCTTAGCCCTCTCCAACAACCTCCTCGTGTAAGACATTGAAAGTAGAATGTGTATTGTAAAATCTGATAAATGAAAGGACATAGTGGATATGGATGATTGGTGTGAGTTAAGGGTGTGGTTTTATAATAGAATTTAGAAGATAGAGATGACACGTGGCACAATAGTAGCAACCGAAAATCTTATCCGAAATCTGATATGTGAATTTTATAATAAATATAGACATGTGGCAATCGCAAATCTTATTCGAATATTTTATCTGAAATATGAGAAGTGAATTTATAATAAATATGGACACATAGCAACCAAAAATCTTATAAGTATAAAAATTAAAATTAATTTATTGTGAGTAGTAATTTCCTTTTTTGCCATGGCATGGGGTGGAAATGCAACAACAAAATTGCTAGGGCATGCAGTATTCAAGTGAATAGTAATAGCCCTTGACTCACATTTCCTTTTGCCATGGCAAATAGGGTGAAAATGCTCTTATGAAGCTTGCCTATGACCGGCCCTAACGCTCTTTCTCTACCCTTTCCTTCCATGTCATTAGAATGAGTGAGTGAGTGAGAAAGAAGGAGAATGAGAGAGGGTGTGGGGGAAAGAGGGTGTGCATGGAAAAGGAGTTAAGAGGATATGAAGTTGAAGTTACCGTGGCCCCTTAGCTTTCAACAATCCCTATAAAATGTGTTATAAGTTTTCACAAATATTATCGTTTGTCAAAATGAATTGAGCCAAACAAAATCGTTATATTATAATTGATTTTTGAAGTCAAATCGACCCAATTCGAATTGTGTCCCCCAACTTATAGGTGCTATAAATGTTCAATTTAAAAATAGAAGAATATAGAACTAAATTATAAAATTTGATTGTATCATACTAAACACTAACCACTGGACTAATTTTTTTTTATTACGAACAATAGGATATTTACAAGAATTTTCTAAACGG